TACTGAGAGTTGATCTCTGGAATCCCAGTAAGGTTTTGCCTCAATGTAGACCTCATTTTTCGAGTCTGGCCATCCTTTGTGTATAGTGTCCATCAATATCTGGAGTTCACTGCGTGTTGCTGACTGAATTTCGGTGTACTTACTAGCACTGACCGATATCATGCTGATAATCTCAGATTTTTCCTCCTCCTCTTCAATGACTCTTGGAGGTAGAAATGCGCGCGACAATGCATCTGATACATGCATTTCCTTGCCTTTGCGGTATACAACAGATAAATCATACCACTGCAATCTGATCATCATTCTCTGAATCCTCATCGGGGCAGATAGGAGTGTCTTTCGGAATAGTGTCTCAAGAGGTTTGTGATCAGAGTAGACGGTTACCTCTTTTCCAAATATGTAGCTGTGAAACTTGCTACAACTGTACACTATTGAGAGCATTTCCTTTTCAATCTGTGCGTATCGTTTTTCTGTCTCTGTTAGCGATCTAGAGGCATAGGCGACAACTCGACCTTCCTGTATTAGGACAGCTCCTAGCCCATCTTTGCTTGCATCACACTCAATCTCTACCGGTTTCCTAACATTGTAAAAAGCTAGTACTGGGGGTTCACTGCAGATTTGTTTAAGCTTGATGAAGCTCTCATTCTGTTCATGATTCCACTGAAACTCTGTATCTGACTTCAGAAGGACTCTCAGGGGGGCGTCAACCTGACTGAGATTTGGGACAAACTTGGATAGATATTGAACCAATCCCAAGAATCTACGAATCCCCTCCTTGTCTTTTGGTGTAGGCATTCCAATGATAGCTCTAACCTTCTCCAGATCAGGTTTCAGACCACAATCTGTGATGACATGTCCCATGTACGGTACTGACCTTTGACGGATTTTACATTTTTGAAAGTTCAACTTCAAGTTGTAGCTGGTGGCTCTCTCTACGACCTGACGCAAGATCCTGTCATGATCCTTAGCATCTCTCCCAGCTATCAGAATGTCATCAATGATGGCAAATGCACCATCTATACCTGCAATCATGTTGTCCATGATTTTCTGGTAGATCTCAGGGGCAGACTTGATTCCAAATGGTAAGCGTAACCAACGGTATCTTCCTATTGGTGTGTTGAACGTAGTAAGATAAGATGATGCCTCATCCAGTTGTATCTGTAAGAAGCCTGACTTTGCATCCAGAACTGAAAATATCTTGGCATCTGGGATATCTGTTATGACCTCCTCAATCGTTTTCATAGGGTGGTGTTCCCTTTGTATAGCTCTATTGAGATCTCGTGGATCAATACATATTCTAATCTTGTCTCCTTTGACACTGACTACCATTGAACTGACCCATTCAGTCGGCCTGTCGACTCGAGTGATGTATCCGTTTCCCTCCATTTCTCTGAGTTTCTCTATGGCTTTGGGCTTAATAGCTGCAGGTAGTTTACGCACTGGATGAATTACACCTTCTGCTGATTTATCAATAGAGAGACTGTACTCTCCTGGCAGAGTTCCTGTAGTCTTGACTAAATCAGGAAAGTCACGAGTTAACTCATCCTCAGCAGGAGTTGAACTGAGTACTAACACAGGATCTGTGCTCAAGGAGTTGTCTGGTGGAACTTGTAGTAGACCGAGTAATACAGCTGAATCACCACTGATTATGTTCTCTTGGTCAATGTCCACAATTTCAAAGTTTATTTCATCTTTCCGACTACCATATTTGACAGGTAATGTAACAGATCCTACAGGCTTAATCCTGTGATTACTGAATGACTTCAGTGTTCTGTGAGAATCCTTTATGTGACGGATTCCTGACATGTTGTCAATCTGATTCTTTGTAAGAATACTGACTCTTGCTCCTGTGTCAATGCGAAACTTCACATCTTCTCCATTTATGTTGAGAGTTGTGACCCACTTGTCATCTATGACACTAACATCAGTGACTGTAGTGGTGTTTATTGTCAACAGTTCATCATCATCTGTCTCATATTCATCAGACTGAATACTGTGTACTTTGTTCCTTAGTCTTTTCCTGCACATTTTCTTCCAGTGGTCTTGTCCTTTACAATAGTTACAGGTACTTCCCTTTGCTGGACACTTTCCACTGTCATGAGTAAAACCACAGCTCCCACAAATGTTACCGGAGTTTGACTTATTCCTGTAGTTGTTTGACTGATATGTTTTCGGTGTTTGTGATGGCTTTAAATTTGGGCTTACTGGTTTCTTGATTTTGCTGGCTGGTTTTTTGTGTTGTTTTGTACAGTTAAGTTTCAATATTTCCTCACCTCGCATCATTTTAACCTGAGCTTGAGAAAGTTCGTATTGTTGACCTATCTGTATAGCTTTGGTAAGGGTAATGTCTTGACCTTGATCAAGTAAACGTTCTTGTACCTTTTTGTGTTTAACACCAGCGATGATCAGGTCTATCAACACATCATTACTGTCTGTGTATTCGCAATCCATTGCCAATAACTTCAGGTCTTTGACAAAATTATCAAATGTCTCAGATTCAGTTTGTTTTATTTGATGGAGTTTGTAACGAGCAATTCGTTTGTTTTTCTTGGGTCTGATGTAAACATCTAGTTTGTCCAATATTTTAACAGGATCATCTGTATCATGATCATTTTCCCATGTGAAGGTCTTATATATCTCCCTACCTTCTTGTCCTATCCACATTCCGATCCATCCTGCCTTGTCAGCATTTTCGGCCTTGGCGAGCGGGCCTTTGAAACAGAACGCCACGTGCTGTCGGAATCGGAGAAATTCCTGGTACTGATCGCCGGCTCCCCAATCCAGACGTGGTTGGTCAAATGGCGTAGCAGACATGGTTGGTTCAGATCAACGTTTCTGACACCATGTAACGTTTACAGACTGCGTTTAGCAGTAATAATTGAAGAGAATCCAGAGACACTGGAAACGTGTTTCAGGCCGCCATGTTTATTCAAGAACCTTCTAAGTTACAGAGACGCTTGAAGCGTAACATTATCAAGGGGAACAACTCTTGATGCCTTGGAGGCTTATGCATACATTACAATTATCATTTTTCTACTATTGTGAGAATTTGAGGTTAAATTGCCAATTGCCAGTTTCTACCTGCTAGACTGTTTACCTCCATCAATAAAACTGGCATGTCTTTGAAACTAATATAACATATGTTTGTTTCCTGTTTGCCATCATCACCAATTCAAAGATATTGAAAAAGAGTTAAATAATTAACAATAATAATAAATTACACATTGCCAGAATCAACCTACAATGCATCAGGAAACACACATATTTTGTATAGACTGAAAAAAAAGGTGTAATTTTGAATTAAGGCAATCACTCATTTCACACATATACTATCTATAGAAAATACACGACGGATGTCCACTTACCTGTTTATAATCTACTCAGATTCAATATGTATATACGTAGCCAATTATGGTAGACATGTCACTATATTTACATTTGCATGGCATTGTCACTATATAGCCTCTTTGAAAACTGTGTCGTTGATGGGACTTTAATTACCATGCATCACGAGACACAATTCTTAGCGTATTAATACAACACTGACCGGAACTACAATATCCAATATAAATAAACATGACGGCTGCTGAAATATCGCTGGGCATTGTGAGATTTGACAATGTCATTGTAAATTTATGTGTATAATAAAAAATAAAATAAAAATACACTTTTATTACAACGAAAACAAGACCAAGGTCTGCAATATCGTACAAAATGCACATCGGTTGAAATCACCAATGCCGGCAATGGGCACAATTTTAACGCTCATGCAATTTATCAGAAATATGTCTGTTACACTGCACTGGTCAACAGGGGTTCGTTACAAATGTCTGAAATACACATATTCTATAGACCTACTGACACATATGTTACAAACCTACTGATATGAGTCCAGCACACATAAACATTTCAGACATTTGTAACGAACCTGTGCTCCGTCGCAAGATCACTCACTTCAAACGCTATCAGTTTCACGCGGTTCGCATCCACGGTTCCTCAGTTTAATTCTGATGACAGGTCAAATAACGAGGCTGTTATAGAATCTACCGACTGTTGTCAGGTTCCCATACAATCAACAAATACATTCACGCCTGGATTCTTCACAAAAACTTCCAAAAATAACTCCCTCATGGAGGGCAAGGTCGGATTTACGGTGTTCACTGTANTTCTATTGATAAACTTAAATCACCCTATAGACATAGCATACGCAATTGTATTGATACTGAATTGTGGAATAAAATTGAAGTGTTTGTTAAAATTTCAAAGTACTACTTTGTTTGCCAATCAGCACGCGACAATACGCTGTTCAAACTATTGAACGAAATTGTGTTGACTGTCGATAAGGCGGGCATTTTTAATTTTGAATATAAATTATAAGTTAAAAAAGAACATAAGAGACAGAGAAAACGTAAATATAAGTATTGAACTGTTTTTGTATGGTATTTATGATCTATTTGAATGACACAGCTTTCCAAGCAAACAAATCATAATGCGCGCTACAATGCTTAAATAAACCCACAAGTCCAATCAAATTAAGGGGAGTCAATAACATACTCTCAAGGGTCTACTGCATGCCCTGATTAGGAGGCAGTAGGCAGTACACGAGCAAAGAACCAATTACATAAATGTGAATATTACACTGTGATGGCAATCACTCTTGGTAACAAAAGCAGCAGTGCAACTACTTGATTGAAAGATATATATCATAACTTTTCCCCAAAGAAATAAATTTGGCTTACTTTAAGTTTACAGAAATCAAAAGCGTATACATCTTATATAGCTTTCTTAATACACTATCTAGAAACGCACAAATACCAATTACAAAACACCGTAATATGTGTAACCCGGGGACCAAACATTCTTACCCTTAACGGCGGTTCTGTTGTACACACAACGGCTTATACGGGTATGTTAACGGCAGTGTTATATGTGACCAGTACAGTCTTGCAGTATCTAGCAGAACAGAAAGTGCTATTTGAAGTCATTATTTGTTGTTGTAGGTAACCACCATGGTCCTATTGGAGATCATCTATCGCCGTCTAGGACAACCAAAACACAAACGATCTCCCGGAATGTATGTCCAGTTCTTCCGATTCGTCCGGACTTCCTGCCAGACGTAAGTAGAGGAATGCTAATCAGTCTACTATCTACTGCTGACCAGGGGTCACTTGTATAAAACATCTCAAAGTTAAGGAAAATCTCAAGCAATGTATTGTCTATGGGAAATCTTAGACAAGTGGGCCCAGTAA